TGCTCTTGTTATTCATCACAGTACTGAACAGAGTGACTGCTCTCTGTGCTGTTTTTAGTATGCAATTGTATCTCTCTGCATCACAGAGAAATAAACTGTCTTCTCTCCCAAGACCACAGAGACCCAAGTCTTCCTGCCTGTCTCCATGCAGATACATGAGGCGTGGTTGCTGTAATACTGAAAATAATGTATACTTATGCAGAAGACTGCACATGTATATAATCACAAATTGCATGCCAGTAGTTACATAAGGAAGTAACATCCAGTCAACATCACTCCAGAACAGTAGGGGGCAACCAAGAAAACAGACTGACCTAGTATCACAGAATCGATCACAGAACCATAGAGAAGTAGGTCTGGAAGGAACCTCCAGAAGTCATCTAGTCCAACGCCCTGCCTGGACAGCATCATCCCTATCCAAACCATCCTATGAAATCCATAATTCAAGCTCTTTGTAAAACTACTGTCAACCCTGACACAATACAAGCCATAACACCCTAACCCGCCACAGGTATGAAGCTTTGGGATAGTGAAGGGAAGGGACTGTTTGAGCAGAAAAATTAATCCAATGCATCCATCCCAACCTTTCCTCAAACCAACACATTCTAAAACTAACTTGGTCCAGGATTCTTCAATATGCAAAAAGTCACTTAATTCAGAAAAAACAAACTTCACTGTAGAGATGCAGGGCATTTTAAATAAAAATGAAAATGAAACTTTTGCAAGGTCAGAAGGAAGTGTTGTTAATATGAGTTCTCTCAGTGAGAGCTAAAGCCACTAAATAGCACTGGACAAAATTCTGAAAAACGTGTTTAAAGAAGAAAAGGCATTTAGAATATCCTTGATGTCAGAAAGTATTCAGTTCATGTGTAATGATACCACATATTCTTTTCTAATTTAAACAATACTTAAAAATGAAAAAAAAAAATCTGTTTAACTAAAATTTAACATTTCCCAGGCTGATGATAGGAAGATACAAGTTGCTTTTAAAGCTCATTTGTCTAAAAATCATTCCAATTGCAGAAGAACAGACCTAATTAATAAGCAGCTGTCTGTAGATTCTCTTTGCAGTTTATACATATGAAAAATGACATTCATGTTCCACATAGGTCAGCTTTCCCATCACTCGAGTTAAAGTAAGGTTTCTTCCTTTTCACCTGGGTCATAACTTTACATCTCTTGGCCAACTACAACGAGCCAGACTATTCATCAGGAATGACTAATATTGAAATAAAACTATGCTTCTCCATGAAGAAATTCCCAATTGATTTACAAAGTTAAGGCCAACCCCATGGCAAACGGAAAAACAATTCTTTGCAGGTTCAAGAGGAACATGGAGAAATAATTAGAAACATCAAAATAAGTGACTTAGTGCTGAGCAAGACTGATTAGTTCTTCCAATTTATCTTTTTGATCGTTTAGGAGTTGACCTCTACAGCAGCATTTCTCAACCTGTGGCTCGCAACTCAAAAGTGGGTCACAAGAATATAGGAAAGGTTTGTGAACAATTATGGAAAAATGTGGAAAATCACAGATTTTCTTCTGTAAAAAGAGAAAACTACAGGTTTCCCCTTGCAGGAGGCTAGCTACTTAAACTACAGTAGAAGCTGTGTTAACTGGCATTTTAGTAACTGTCATACTCTGCTAATCGTGGATGCGAAGGGGAGCTCACACGTAGCAGCCACTACCGCCGCCACCCCCTGCCCCACGTCTGACTGAAAACCCGTCTCAGGTAACTGGCATTTTTAGATTACCAGCACCCCCCCATTCCCCACTCACGCCAGATAACAGAACTTTTACTGTATTTACTGGGTCAGGACTGCCCAATGTTTACAAATGAGTCCTGGTACAAAAAAAGGTTGAGAACCACTGCTCTACAGAGTGTTTTGAAATAGCAGTTGTACACAATTAAGCTTACGAAACCCCTGACTTTTTTGAAACACCCCTAATCTACTAACTTTTGCAAAAAATATCCCTTCCATTTGAAATTTCACATACAGTCTCTTAGCAAGTGAAACCATTTAGGAAAATTCACTGTTAACTGGACAAAAACATACCATATAACATTGATTTTGACAATATTTAAATATTTAATTATCAACCATTTTCCTTTAAAGACCTGAGTATGACAGTGTGATATTATGAGAAAGGTATCATAGTAACCCATATTTCCATCTGTACAACAACCAAAAGGGAAAAAAACTGCCCATTAGAAACTGAAGGTACAAACCTAAGTGACAAGACAACGAAGGCTCACTTAGTAGGCTAGAGAAACAAAATTGAGTACAGCATACTCCGAGCATTACATACTTTCTCTCTTACTGCAGTTATGAAAGTCTGATCACATTTACCAAAATAAGGAACTTTATTACTTGGTTCAAAAGGTGATATGGCATCTAGTATGTAGTAGGACATTTATATTCAGATTACTAAAAGTATACTTTTATTATTAATAATGGACAGCCAGATTTAAAATTCTAGCCTCAGCTTATTTAACACGATAAAAAATTATCAAATTCTTAGGTGATTACAACAGTGTTACCTTCTAACATTATTATACGGTACTTCTACCAAAACCCCTAAAATTTAAAGGGCAGAGCTTGCTCAAATAAGCAACTATTGTACAGAAGTACTGACTGGCAAGAAACATAAGTAATAACAATATACCACTTGCACCTGAAGTACTGATAATTTACATAAAAGTACACTTTCACTAGGAGATTTCTTTGGAGATTCAAACCAACAAAATCATGACAGGGAAAGTAATTAAAAAAACTAGCAAGTACAGAACTAACAAGACTATTTTTTCTAAATCTGCTATAATACATTATTATTTTTAAACAATAAAGCGCTGCCAGAATATTTCATGAATGCCTGAAAAATAAACACTTGCCAGGTGACACTGTTAATGATATGCAATCAAAGCAGACTTTCAATACGACTGAGTGAAAACCTTTTCATGAAAAACATGGCCAACACACTCATGCCAAAATTATTCATGCAATTGTACTGTATTTGCACATTAAAAATGAAAAATGATATGCAACATGTTAACTCATCTAAAAGAATAAAGATAGTTTAATGTACAGGCAACCAACCCCTGCTTAACATAGTTTCACTTAGCACTGTTTCGTTATAGAGCTAATTTAAAATACCTACCTGGTTTCACTTAGTGCTGAGCACATTTTGTTATAGCGCTCAGCGTAGAGGTAAGGAGAAGCAGTGGTGATGGCGTCAGCATCAAGGGAAGTAGTGAATAGCAGCCGGCGGGAGCCCGGGGGGGTAGCAGGAGCCTGGGGTCTGCTCCGGCACATGGTGTTGGAGTGGGTAGGGAGGAGCAGTAGTTGCGAGAAGGGGCGGCCGGGGGGGGGGGCCGGGGACCAGGCAGTGTGAGCTTGGAGCCCAGGCCAGTGGGGCCCAGGGCAAGGTGGCAGGAGTGCAGGGTACGCTCTGGCACGTGGTGTTGGAGTGGCCAGTGGGCGGGAAGGAGTGGCGGCGGCAGCAAGTGGGCAGCAGGAGCATGGGGCCTGGGCCCAAGGCCAGGGCTGGCAGGAATGCAGGGGCTGGATTAATGTAAGCTGAGCCCAGAGAGCGCCCCCGCCAGCTGCAGTGATCTGTGCCAGGTGCCCTGGAAGGAGTTCCTGCTGGACAAAGTGGGGCACGGGCGAGCGGGTGGCCCTACTGCTTACCCCGTACCAGAGCCCTGCTGCCTTCTCACCATAAATCCCTGGACAGGTGGGTTCCCCAGGGCCAGAAGGAGTGCAGGGCCTGGGTTGGCAGGGCCCAGGGTGGGGCTGCAGGTCTGCGCTGGCAGGTGGCGCAAAACCAATTATCTTTATTTACATTAAATCCAATGGGGAAATGGGTTTTGCTTAACGTGGTTTTGCCAGAACCAAGTAAGAGCGGTAACCCAGGGTTGCCTGTATAAGGAGTTTCATCTTTGAGTTATATCCCCCTTCTCATCCCAAAGTTTAGCACTTTAGACCTGTAATATTCTGTGAACAAGGTATTACTGTTTGTTCATACCATTAAACAATAAGCCGCTAACCAGGTAGCTTTTGGATAATACAGAATGACACAATCTAGTAATATAGCGATGCTACAGGCAGCGTCATTTTAACACCCACTGTCCTCACTTCTCACTCTCAGCAAGCACATGACACTCTTAAACCTCTACTACTATGTAGTCCTGGTTAGTGGCTGCTTGCAAGCTCCAATGTTCCTGGTAAATAAAGAGAAAAATATCTTAGGGTGACCATTAACCTGCATTGAGTTTTGCTGACTATTTCTATAACCTATAAAGAACATTTAAAACATCCATTCTTCCTGATTAATATTTGGTATTTAAGAAATATAACCTAAACAAAACTGGATAGAATGGTGTTCAGAAAATCAAATGCCATTATTGTTGATGCAGTCACTGAATGACAAGATATTTCAGATTGTTCCTAGTGTTTCACATGCCAGCAAAAAAGAAAAGATTTTTTAGGAACTCAGCTACTCTGTTTAAAATTTTTACCTCACATCACTTATTCAAGGATATACATTCAGACTTCAAAATGACATCAAGTACTTTTCTCCACTGCAACAGAAGTAACTCAAGAGCATAAACCCTCCCTGTGATATCTGTTACATCAGCTTTGGGCAAATACATTGCTTGTCAAATTCCATGGATTTTAAACTCATTCAAAAAAAGAGATCATGAGTCCGTATTCTTTTTCCTGTCAATGGGTAGAAAAAGGTGATTTCAAAATGTCCCTATGGTCTTGACATTGACTTACATAGCTTAGTAAATCATTAATACCAGCAGGTGGAGTTAATAGTTTCATAGTTTCTAGGGTCAGAAGGGACAAGAACAGATCATGCAGTCCGACCCCCTGCCCTGGGCAGGAACGAGTGCTGGGATCATAACACCTCAGCAAGATATCTATCCAAACTCCTCTTGAAGACCCCCAGGGTAGGAGAGCACCACCTCCCTTGAGAGCCCATTCCAGAGCCTGGCAGCCCTAACTGTAAAGTAATGCCTCCTGATATCAAGCCTGAACCTGCTCTCAATCAATCTGTGGCCATTATTTCTTGTTATCCCAGGTGGTGCCCAGGGGAACAGAGCCTCACCTATTTTCAGCTGGTCCCCCCTGGTGAGTTTATAGACAGCTACCAGACCCCCTCTCCGTCTTCTCTTGTGGAGGCTGAATAGATTCAGGACCTTTAGTCTATCTTCGTAGGGCCTGTCCTGCTGCTTCCTGACCGTGCGGGTGGCCCTCCTTTGGACCCTCTCAAGGTTAGCCACATCCCTCTTGAGGTGCGGTGCCCAGAACTGGACACAGTACTCCAACTGTGGCC